CCAGCATTCTGGCTGGGGAATTCTGGGAGTTGAAGTCCACACATCTTAAAGTGGCCAAGATTGAAAAATACTGTTCTACGCTTAACACCAACCTCATCCCCCCCAATCTTTGGCCTTAGGGGTCTTTTGATTTTGCTTTAATTTATTGAATGGTTGCCTATTTAAGGATTGCCCCCTTCTTTTTCATCATCATCATCATCATCATCATCATTATTATTATTATTATTATTATTATTATTATTATTATTATTATCACCATCATCATAGCAGGTGGCAGCCCCTAGTGACCTTCAACTGATTTTGGGGAGGGGGCTGCTGGGAAACTCTAAGCAGGGTCAGATCTAGTTGGTACTTGGGATGGGGGACCTCCAGGTAATGCCAAGAGGGTTGTTTGAGGTGGGAAGGGCCACATTGGCCCCTGAAATGTCAGTTACAAACCAGTTCCAAACCGCTGCCCAGAAAACTCCACTAAGTCCCTGGAAATCTTTAATTATGACTCTTTCTAACTAAAAGCCATACCAATTCCCTCTACTTTTGTGATTCCCCCCTACTCATTCTGCACAATGGGGCCTGTAGGTTTTTCCTATGTTATGACCTTGGAAGCACATTGAAGCTTACATGACCAAAACAGCCACCCAAAAAGGAGCTGTTGGTAAACTTGCTGGAACCCGAACATTGGCAAAAATATGGATTTTGGGAAGGGGGGGGATCCTTCCACTGAAAGTGGCAGGGAGGGCAAATCTCCAACACAACTGAAGTCGCTGTAATTTCGTCCCTGCACGGTGGAAATGAACTTCCCAAACTAAAAAGAGGGCCTTCCATCTGGGATCTCCCATTTCCAGCGTTAAGCTGGCCAAAAGAACTCTTGCTTCTCCTGATTCTGAGGACAAATTTGGCTTAGTCCTTTAAGTTATGATTCCCTGGAAATCTGAAAAGGTCTTCCAGAAACTCAAACACGCTAGAAGGTTCACACAACACGCTCAATGCTAAACCCAAACCCCATTTTTGCGTCCATTGAGTGCTCTAGGGATCCTCTCCCACCCTGCTACGCTTTCAAACCCCCAGAAGCCTTTAAATAAAAATCAAGACTCCGTCGATGTTTATTTCCTAACCCTTTCCAAGACCTTGCCCCCCTTCGGTCTTCTCAAAAATCTTCCGTAACCTACCATGGGAATAACAATCCGTATTTTATTCCGCTGGCCTGGAAGAGCAGCTGTCTCCTGTCGGAGACAGGGAACCCCAGCCGAGCTCCCGTAAAAACTTGGGGGGCCCCTCCTTGAAAGCGTCGGGAAAGAGAAGAGCCGCGAAGTTGCAAAGAGAAACGGTCACACGTACCCCAGCCGGTGCTTCTCCTAAGGCGAGAAGGGAGAAGTGTTGCTGACTCCATGAAATCCGCAAGGGATCTCGGTGGGCCCGGCTAGAGACCCTGCTCAGCTCGTTGGGGGCAGCGCTGGCCAGCCGCACACACAGCCTAAGACAAACCAGAATACGAATCTGTTCAGACCACCGAGGTGACGGATGCCAGCGTGGCTTAACTCCCTCGGCTCAGGATTCGGGGCACAAGAGCAGGGGCCCGTGCAATCTTTGTTGCATTTCAGAGGGGGAAAGAAAAACCAGCCGTGAGACTTTGCCCCCTCCCCATGTCTTCTCAGCTTTGGGGCTACAACTCCTGACCACAGGCCTTATGGTCATTTGAAGGGAAGCGGCTCGCGTCCTTCCTTCTGGGATGTCCAGAAAAACAGGCCTCGGCACCCTTTTCTCTCTTCCGTGACTCGTCCGATTGGGGAGGGGGATGAAGAGCCGTGATCTCCCCAACCAAGGACGAAAGCTTTCCGATTCTCCCGCAGAGAGACTCGTATCCCTCCCGCCCTGGGAAGAGAATCACTGTCCTGTTTGCAACCGATGTGCCGTCCCCATCAATACATGAACGCGAGATGTCCACCGTCCGCTTGCAAGCAGATACTCGGCCGCTAAAGCCCCCTGCGAAAACTAGCTCAGATTGGCTCTAGAAAGACAGTCAGTACAGAGGCCGAAATCTGGGGTTAGTGCTGGAGCGTCAGAAAGCTTTACCCACACACTACGATCTTTTCAACGTCAGGGTTATCTTCTTCCAAGCGAGGCACCCGGCTCTCCCAGTTTAACTTTGCTTTGCCCCTTTTCCCCCCCTTGCAAGCGTGATCCAGCAAAGCAGCAAAAGGGGGATTTTGAAAGCGCCAAAACTTCCTGGTTCTCATAATCTCAACAGGAGTAACCCTTGCCTCCTGCTTTGCTTTTATCTCATTCTAATAGGAACGATTTGCCATATCAAATCCCGTGCCAGTCACATTAGCCACTTGACTTTTATTGACCATGTGCTCATTCCCCAGACCCTGGCGCCTGTCTAAGGACGTGCCCCGTGTCTGGGGACAGAAGGGAAGTCCTTGGACAAGAAATCCTCGTTTCTATTTGGTGATTCCTCCAATCTCTCCCTGCGGCCCCAGGAAATCTCAGGGCCGAAGGTTTGACTGGGAACTCGACGACAACAAACTTTGCTGAAGAAAGTTTGAAGGCTGCCTGGGCCGTTTTCACGTAGCTACCAGGAGCTGAACGTGACTTGAGGGAGTCTTTCTTTTTAAAACAGGAAATGACTACCTCCTAGACGTGAAGCAACTTTGAAAGAAATCTAGTGGAGGAAAAGTAGATTTGGCAGAGAACAGAGAGGTGGAATCTCTCGATCAGAAAGGCATCGAAGGTGGACGTCTGGAAAGGCGGCAAAATTTGCAATCGAATTTCTGCATGTTGCCCAAATTGGTGGTGGCTCATGGAGGTAGGTGGGAAACCCACATTAATTTGTACGTCTGCTGCCCGAAACGAGTAAAACTGGTTTCTGAGCCTAGGCTGCTCTGGAGAATTCAAAGTCACCCTAAAGAAACTGAGTCACCCCAATGATTCCCCAGAGATGTTTGGGTGATGCTTATTCATGTGAGGGAGTCACATGCCAGGTCCTGATAGGGAAATGCCTACAATGTTGTGGTGGACCTTGGTGCTCGTTCTCAAATGTGATCTGTGGAAGGAGAACTGCTTAAGAACGCCCAGGTTACCGACAACCCATAGTTATGAACAGAGCCTATTGTAGCAAAATTGGAGTTAAATACACAGTGATTCGAGTTAAATACACAATGGTTCGAGTTCATTACACAATACTACTTATATACTATTATACAATAATGCTGTTTCAGCTTACGTACAGATTCGACTTAAGGACAGATCTTGGGAACAGAACTCGTTCTTAAACTGGGGACGACCTGTATTTATAAGGGGAAAAGCATCCTGTACTTCTCTTGCCCATCATAGCTAAGTGTGGAAACTGAAAGACAGGGTGGCATGCCCCCCAAAGTTTCCTAAAAGTGGTAGGGCTGCAAGACCCCCTCTCCCCCCAAGACATCACTCCTGAATCCCACGGAAAAATCTCCCCCAAGTTCAGCCCAAGCTGAGTTGGAATCAACTGATCTTGATGCAGGCCGATAGCTGTGCTGGGGGCTCCTCTGTGGGATACTCCATTACGTTCCCCCCTTGCCTCATTTTTCCAAGAAGGGGGCTCCTCCAGGGATATCCCCCCCCCAAAATTGTATTCTACCAAACCATGAAGTCATCCAAGGTTGCACAAAACTCCCTCCTCCCACCGTGGAGCTGCTTAAATCCATGCCCCAAAGCGAATTGATAAAAAAAAGCTTGCGTTCCTTTCCAAAAAGCAGAAACTTTTCATCTGTTGATATGGTCCCAGGGCAAAGGCGTACGCTCTGCCTCCTCTTTCCTGCGGCCCCACAGACATGCAGGTCCTACTCGCAGGCACCGGCGTGCCTCTGAGTGAGTCCCGTGCCTTCCCCCTCCACATCCTCTTTGTCCTCTGAAGTCACTCCATTGCCACGCTTGAGATGATTTAAGCGACCACGAGCCAGGATGTTTGTCAGAAGCGCTGTCTGGAGGTGGCGCCCTAGAAATATTTAACGCTGCGGGATTTTTAAAAGAGGCACTCCTTTTGCCCTCCAGCAAACGTGCTGGAGCACATGCTCAAGAGCGATTTATCTCCTCTAAGCTATCCCGGGATCGTCATTCCATACCCATGCTCAAAAAATGCTCAGATGCTTCTGGCGAACCCAGAGCGGTTAAAAGTGATCTCGGTTGTTAACCAGCCTCACGTTCCCCTTCATATTTCAATAAAACGACCAATTCTTTGCTGCAAAACTTCAGCCAGCCAATAGAGGGTAGGAAAGCCTTCGAGTTTCGTGTCTCTCTGCCACCCCTAGCAGTTATCCGGAGTTTTGCAGACCATTTTTTAAAAATTTAAACCGTTGGCTTTTGCGCAAACCCTGGGTGTCTTACCACCAAGTCATTGCTCAAAGGGGGAGTTTGGTCTTTCTCAACCTGAAAAAGACCTTAAGATACAAAATCCACCAGTTAGATCTAAGCCCAAGCAGAATAACGCTTGGGAGAACCTTTGGATCGATAAGAGGCTGGCGTGTATTTGCGACAATTACGCAAATTTATTAATCAGAGTTTTAAAGGTTTAGGATCGAAAGACTCCTAGTTAAAGGACGGGTTGCGCCGATCCAGATCCATAACCGAATATTCTGGGAACAAGTCAAAAGATCTTTTTTTTTTTTTCTCATTCTCTCTCTATTTCCAGCCCCTGGATGGTAATTTGGGGAAAACTTTTTTCCTGCCAGCTCAAAGTCATTTAAAAAGCAAACTCACCTATCTGGGTTGGAAGTTCCTAGTCACAGCAGTGCATGGTTTAGCTTCTGGCGTTTTTTCTCCTTCCTTCAAAGAACTCGGGAAAAAACAGGTTTTGCTCCGTTTACGGCATGAGAAACGTCGTGCTGGAGATACCCCGGAGAAATCAAAAACGCTCCCCAAAACAACACTGTCCGCATCACTGGGGCCGAGGCATCTTTTATAGCCTCTGCTGCGCCAGGTGACTCGATGGCTCTTACCTGCCTCGTCCAGGTGTGGTTCTTGGGCTTCTGATTGGCTGGCTTCCCAGGAGGGGGCGTGGCTTCTTGTGTTGACAAACAGGACCGGCTGGGGCAGCTTCTGGACAGAAAATACATCCCCGATTGAAGTCTGACTCCCAAAGATCGGAGAAATAAATGCCGACGTGGGCCTGTTTGAAGTGGTTTAGATAAGATCGACGGTTGGAGGTGTGTGTTTTTCAGCCATGAAACTTGCAATGAGCTGGGACATTGGCACGGGTTTCAATCACATCACATCAAATCAAATCAAATCAAATCGGGCGCTTTGCAAGGATTTCTGCTCAGCCCGGAGAATTTTCCTCCTTTCTTGTTTTAATTGTTCTTTCACATGCAAAGGAAAAAGAAGGGGAAGGGGGGGGAAAAAAAAAGGAAGGAAAAAGCTGGCTTGCCAGTACGTTCCTGTGATTTTCTGCAAGTAAATTATTAACATTTCATCAGGTTACTTAAGTATTGGAGGGAAAAATGGGAAACAAAACCGGAACGTTGCTAAAGAAGCATCGAAGGAAGGGGAAATTATGACATACTGGACCTAGCGGTGGAGTGAATCCTATTAATTATATTTAATTCAGTTAATGTCATTAAACATAAATCACATTTCCGGGTTATCCATCCAAACCTAGTCTAATTTTGGAGGAGCAAAGCACAATCACCAAGTTTTGCATTCTGACGTTAGGGCAAAAAATAGCGTCTCTCAACTCCTGTTTGGCTCCTGAAGACTCCATGGGTATGGAAGTAGTTTGCCACGGTCTGTTTCTGGATTTTTTTTGCCTCCTGGTCTAGCCTGCGGTTATTGGATGTCCTAGTGGTCTCCCATCCACCTCCTCACTCTGCTTAGCTTTTCCAGATTAGCCAAGGCCGGTTTGGTGTTACCATCTAGCTGGGCCCTCTGACAGATGACATGTTGAACCATAAGGGGCCAATACCAAGTCAGACAAGTGCTCCACTCTGAGATATTTTGATTATTTGGCAAATCCAGCTGTCCTGCTCTCTGATCCTACTCTGGGGTTCAATTGATCTTGAGGCCCATTGGAATGAAAAACAGACACTCCATTTGTGACCTCCTTTGGGCCTCCTGCGATTTCTGTAGAAGTATCTTCGCCGCTCCTAAGGACTAGAAACTTGGTTTGTTGGCTTCCACCTGAAAAAAGAAGAAAGCAAGCTGTGATGTTCCCCATAAAGAGGCCCAACCTCCCCTTTTGAAAAACTGCACGAGATGTCAAAAGAGGCTCTCTCCTTTCCGCCCGTGATGTTTTCAAGAGCCGTTCGTGTACGGAGGCAGGCTTTCTGTTTCCTGAACAGCTGCCCATACATCTGCCCACTTCGCTGGGGACAATGGGAGAGGTGGTGGAGCGGCAGCGTAGTCAGCCACGGAGCTCCCCCCAACAGAACTGGGGTTCGTGTTAATGAAGCTGCGTTGTACAGATCATCCTCATCGGAGAACGTGGATTTACCACGAGGAGAGCATTTCTTTCTTGCTTCGAGGATCCCCACGTGGCTGGAGAAATCTGAATCCCCCAAAGGGGGGCCCTCTCGATGGACTGGGGTACCATCATCTGGCCTTTGGGCCCAGGATGATGGGCACTGACCTCTCACGCAACTGCTCGGTAGACAACCCTGCTTTGTAGATTTTACCCCAAAGGGAGGTAAGGTTTTTTTTTCTGCAGGAGGGCATCGGGACGCCTTCAGTTCCCACAATCCCCCAGCCAGCATGTGGCCGTTGCGGAGAATTCTGGGAAATCCACGCCCTCTCCAGAGACCCAGGCTTCACCTCCCAACATTCCCTAGCCCGCGGCTGAGAATTCTGGGCGTCGAAGTCCCATCTGGAAGGTGCTCAGTTAAAGGAAGAGGCAGCGAACCAGCGATTCCCCCAATTTACTTCTAGATGGCTGGCTGTTGATTCAGCATTTTTGCAGGCAAGGTCATTAAACCGAGCCAACCTCCTTTAATTGGCGTGCGCCCCAGCTTGGCCGTTCTTCGGCTGCGATTATGTAACAATTACCGGGCTCTCGGCAGGCACAAGGCCGATGAAGTCATGCCATCCTAGCAGTTTAAGGAATGAGTCACCATCCCCATCTCCCAATTTTAGGAATAGCAAGCATTCTCCTGGGGTTAACATCAGGTCTTTTTCCCAGGCAATTAAAAGTCAGGAGATGATGATCTGGTCCCGGAGGACGGATGAACGGTTGCAGGAGATGCCCCTGTTGGATTTCTGCCTGGCCGGCATTTAAGAGGGCCAGGTCTCCCACTGGAGCTAATTTGGCCAGAGCCAACCCGTCGTGCCCTCAGGTCTTGGAGGATGGGGCTGTGTGCATTTCCAGCCAAGCTGGTTTCCAAAGTTGGCTTCCGGCTCCGAGGGGATCCGCGAAACCCAGCCCTTGCTCCAATCCACGTCTGGAATTTGGAAAGAGTTTGCAACCCCCTTGGATTGTGCTGAGTTTATAACCCAAGGGCACTGCCACAACCCGCCCCACCCAGAGACAATCCTTTCCCCAGACCCTTTTGAACATTGCCTGGACCTGGAGTGAGACCGAAGGAGCAAAGGATGGAGCGCCCAGAGACCCCGTTAGTCCTTGTTCGGTTCAGCTAGTTCCATGTCTGTGCTTCAGGACAGAACTCAGATTTCCTTTTTATTCTGTTTCTTGGACCTCAGCCCTCCATCAGGGCCCCCAAAGGGTGGCCCTTGGCTAAGCACTAAGGCTGTGTGCCCTGAGTTTAAGGGTGGGGAGGCCCTTAAATGGTGATGCTTCATGAGAAGAGTTCTGGGTGAAGGAGGAACGGAACAGAATAAATAGCAGGTGGACGTAGCTGGCTGGAACCGCAAGGAATGTACTTTGTATCTGTCCCCAGACCACGTGCTGGAGGTTTGGCAGTCATACCAGACATTCTGCAGAAGGGGGAAAAAACTCTTGACATGCCCAGAGGCCCTTTTCCTCCCACCTTCTGGACGGATGCCAGATTTTACGGCAGATGGCATGTCATCTTTTCGCCGTAGGCAAGACTTCAGCCAAGGCCCTTCTCTGCCTTTGTGGCTCGGCGTGGGTGCGGCTCACCCCGGCTCCGATGCAGATCCAAAGCATGTGCTCGGGCGCAAAACACCATCCGGTCAACCCC